ATCCTAAAATTAGTACAATTGCCAAATTTGGTTGCAAAATGTTTTAAAATACGGAAAATATAGTCCTGCGAAGTTAGTAAATTTTGAGTATTCTAGTATTACGCGCGGGAAAATGCACCACTTTTGAGCCGAAAGTGGTGCATTTTTGCGCGCGTATAATGCCATATAAAAATACTTAAAATTTGCTAATTTCATAGGGCTATATTTTCCGTATTTTACAACATTTCGCATCCAAACTTTGCAATTTTACCAATTTTAGGATGCTCTTTGGAGCTATAAAGATAGATTTCATCTTTCTTGTCTAGATAAAAAAATAGTCGATAGCTCGAATCATTCATTGAATGTTATGTTGTTCTTATTTGAGGTATGGCGTGAGATCGACAATCATCTTATTACCACTACTTGGACTGACTTGGGCGTTTGGCTTGATCTGTGTCAATGATGGCTTGGTCGTGTTCCAATATCTCTTCACAATATTTAACTCGCTACAGGTATTAAATACACATTTTGCCGTAGTCTATCAGAGATATGATAGTTTGGAAACTTAACAGAAGTCATTGTTTGATGATTTTGTCTGAGTTTATGTACTATTTAAAACACGACAACGAGTGTTTTGAATAGCTTAAAATACGACTACAAAAGAATACTAGTTAGGATGAACCATAATATAATCATGCTAATTAAGATGAACAATTATATAATGCCACATGTGTTTCATCAGATATAAAGTCACTCCACGTAACATATTATGGCTGACATGATTTGCCACAAGGTTTATGAATTATTAATGAGTATTTTAAGTACTATTTAAAGCACGCGTAGGAGTGTTTTATCACATATAAAACACGACACGTAGCGGAGTGTTTTATATGTGATAAAACACGACTACAAGTGCTTTAAATAGCTTAAAAAACGACTCATCTTATACGAGTTCATTGGCGAAGTAATTTTTAAAATAAACTTTGTCTAAACCGAGAAAATCAAAGCTAAAATTTATGTAAATTAACGTGATTTTTATCACATATAAAACCATGACACGCTTATGATTTTTCTTTGTGTTTTGCTCCTGAATTATTAATGAGTTTTTTTAAGTTAATTTGTGCACTGTCAAGCCTGATTTCCATATGGTCGTAAAAATTGAGTCACGATCTTTCTCATCAGCCGAAATACAACATTTTAGAACTGAAAATACGCGGAGTGATTCTAGCTAGAGAATACGTATGATTTATTTGTGGTTTACAGGTATAAACTATTCTAAACTGGCCTTTGAGAAAGATCGTGACTCTATTTTTATGACCATATCGAGTCCAGACTTCACAGTGATTGAGCTCATTGTATTTTCGTATAATGAAGTAACCGTCCAATAGGGATAGCTGAGATAAAACGCGACACCACGATTCCAAACTCATTAATAATTCATGAGTAAATTAGCCAACCATATATTGCTTTATTTTGCTCACATGATAATCCCGGATACCTGTTGAAGTATAATGATTCAGTCCTAGATCTGGATCAAAATGAATTCAGTCCTTGGACGGGATCAAAATTATTTCACCTCACTTAAAGAAGTGATTTATTCCTGAGATGTCATTTCAAATCCTCAGACTGGACTAGATTTCAATTCCTCGCATCTTGATCAAGTCCTCGGCTTTGCCTCGGACTTCATCAAATTGACCATTTGCGTAATAGATTAATTTTGAACTAAACAAGTCTAGACAAAAATTTCATCACAGCTTGAAGGAGCATCACAAAATTAGTAATATTCCAAAGTTTCGTTGCAAAATGTTGTAAAATGCGGAAAATATAGCCTTGCGAAATTTGAAATTTTCAGTCATTTTAGATTACAAACGGGAAATTGACAGCCCCAAACCCTTCGAGGCTGTCAATTTTCCATTTGTAATCTAAAATGACTGAAAATTGCAAATTTCGCAAGGCTATATTTTCCGCATTTTACAACATTTTGCAACGAAACTTTGGAATATTACTAATTTTGTGATGCTCTTTCAAGCTGTAATGAAATTTTTGTTGAGATCAAAATTCAGTCTATTACGCAAATGGTCAATTGTGCGGACTTGAAATCTAGTCCAGTCCTCATAGTCGGAATTATATACATCAATAAATAATATTTAATGAAGTTGAGCCAAAGGATTTGTGTTTATTTTGGTTTTCAGGGTTTGTTTATATTCCTGTTCCATTGTGTTTTCAATACTGAGGTAAATATAACATATATTCGTTATTATGTTTGTGATGTTACTTCGAGTGTGTATCCACACCGGGCAAGCTTGAAAAATATCGGCCTGGCCACGGTCGTTATTAGCTTTAACAAATATACGTATCATAATTTAATATCAGTTAAACTGTCCTGGATTTCAACTATTTTTTTCCGAAAGCTTGATGTTCCGAATTTCACAAGCAGATTTTTAAACTGATGAACAAAGTTCGGAACAGTTAATAGACACACGTCAAAACGCACAAGTTGTTACAAGTCTGAAACAAGTTGTTAGAAATCTGTTCACAAGCTGTCGACAAGTTGTGTTCGCACTGCTTGTTCCCAGTTCTTGTAACAAGTTTGGAACAAGCTGTTAACAACTTGTAACAAGCTTGATGGCATTATCAGACTTGTTAGAAGGTTGTTCTAATAAGTCTGACACAGTCATGATATAACAAGAATGTTACAAGGTTGTTCTAACAAGTCTAATACAGTCATGATTTAACAAGAATGTTACAAGGTTGTTCTAACAAGTCTGATACAGTCATGATATAACAAGAATGTTACAAGGTTGTTCTAACAAGTCTGATATAGTCATGATATAACAAGAATGTTACAAGGTTGTTCTAACAAGTCTGATACAGTCATGATATAACAAGAATGTTACAAGGTTGTTCTAACAAGTCTGATACAGTCATGATATAACAAGAATGTTACAAGGTTGTTCTAACAAGTCTGATACAGTCATGATATAACAAGAATGTTACAAGGTTGTTCTAACAAGTCTGATACAGTCATGATATAACAAGAATGTTACAAGGCTGTTCTAACAAGTCTGATACAGTCATGATATAACAAGAATGTTACAAGGTTGTTCTAACAAGTCTGATACAGTCATGATATAACAAGAATGTTACAAGGTTGTTCTAACAAGTCTGATACAGTCATGGTATAACAAGAATGTTACAAGGTTGTTCTAACAAGTCTGATACAGTCATGATATAACAAGAATGTTACAAGGTTGTTCTAACAAATCTGATACAGTCATGATATAACAAAAATGTGACAAGGTTGACAACACAAGGTTGTAGCAATATTGTTATATCATGACTGTATCGAACTTGTTGGACCAAACTTGCAACAAGTCTGATAATACTATCAGGCTGTTACCTGACATCTTGTTGGCAACTTGTTGACAACTTGGGACAAGCAGTGCGAACACAACTTGTTCGCGGCTTGTTGGCAGACTTGCTACAAGATGTGAGATTTTTACATGTGTAGTCACAAGTAATTTCAAATCCACTGTGAACCTTCTTGACAACTTGCGACAATATTCACTCAATTGAACCAGTCCTGCTCATTCTATAAGCTTTCGTACTTAATTTCTTGGCTTTCTCTAGGTTCGCAAAGCTTTCTGGAGAAAGGTAGACATCTGGTTCACAAACCACAATCTTCCATATGGAAACAACGCACACAGCCGATCAAAATCTAACAACGATCTCTCTTCGATATGTACTCCCGTAAGTTTCATCTTTAGTAATGCTTTTGAAACCAACTTTATTTATACTGGATAGCTCTATCAGTTCCAGACTGTTCTTCCTAGAGATCTAGTAAGGGTCATCTCTTACTGATCCAGTGTTACTACAGGAGGAAACCTAAACTAACTTTATTTATACTGGATAGCTCTATCATTTCTATAGTGTTCTTCCTAGAGGTCCAGTAAGGATCATCTCTTATTGACCCAGTGTTAAACTAAACTAACTTTATTTATACCGGATAGCTCTATCAGTTCTAAACTGTTCTCCCTAGAGGTCCAGTAGGAATCATCTCTCATTGATCCAAAACCTAAACTAAACTAACTTTATTTATACTGGATAGTTCTATCAGTTCTGAACTGTTCTTCCTAGAGATCCAGTAAGGTCATCTCTTATTGATCCAGTTTTACTACAGAAGGAAATCTAAACTAAACTAACTTTATCTATACCGGATACCTCTATCAGTTCTAAACTGTTCTTCCTAGAGGTCCAGTAAGAATCATCTCTTATCGATCTAGTGTTACTACAGGAGAAAACCTAAACTAAACTATCTTTATTTATACTGGATAGCTCTATCAGTTCTAAACTGTTCTCCCTAGAGATCCAGTAAGGATCATCTCTAATTATTGATTCAGTGTACTGACAAACTCGCAATGCATTTACAGATTTTTAATTCTATTCCAACAGGATAAAGACAAAAAGACGCCGCCAAGAAACGGCCCATCAATGTACTCCTTCGACGAGCTGACGGAACGCCAGAGAAGAAAATTCTCTACGGCAACCGCCAGCACCTGTATAGACCCCTGGCCCCACAAACTCAGCTTAACCCCTTCTATGGACGGCCCCCACCCTGCCAGATTCACCCCATCCCTATCTTCTGATGACATCAAGTATCAGCCGATCTGCAAACAAAACGCTGGCCAAAAACGAATCTCACCGAAGAATCTGGGAACAAAAGTTGGGGATCTCAATGGAAACACTCATAACCTGGACGGCGATTCTGATTTGCAAAAAGATGGCGCAAGTTCTGTTCAAAACAATGAAACGGGATCAAATTTAGCCAAAACTGGACAGAGTGTATTGAAGGAAAAACAGCCAAATACGAATTCACAACAACAAATTGTCCAAATTTCAAGCAAAAACATTGAAACTCCTAAATCAAGCGAAGAAAGTTATATTCAGAAGCAACCAAACACTCAAAAGCCACGACCCACGAGAAAATCCTCGCACGAGTCGCTCGGTGACGAACGAAACGTCGTCGGCATTGGTGGTCATGTTATGAACTCAGGAGACAGTGCGGGACACGTTAGGATAACTGATGTGGACAATAGTACAGGAAGCTTTGGGACAAAGTTATAGAAGCGCGCTGAATGACGATATGATTAACTTGTGGGGTGGATCTAGCCTCATCTGCAAGGAGGGGTGCAGGTTTTCCATGGGGTGGTGCATGAGGGAGCCTTACTGCCCACTCTCCTCTGCAGTCTGCAACGCTACTATCCCAACATTACCATTATTTGAGATGGCCGAGTCCGTATCAAGTCAACAAGCTGTGAATCGAAGCAGTGCGATTTAGGTGTACACACTTAAAATCTCACATCTTGTAGCAAGTCTGTCTACAAGCCGTCAACAAGTTGTGTTCGTACTGCTTGTCCCAAGTTGTCAACAAGTTTGGAACAAGCTGTTAACACTTAACAACTTGCAACAACCTTGTTGATATTATCAGACTTGTTGCAAGGTTGCTCCAACAAGTCCGATACAGTCATGATATAACAATATTGTTACAACCTTGTAAGATTCTCGTTATATCACGACTGTATCAGACTTGTTAGAACCTTGCAACAAATCTGATAATGCCATCAACCTTGTTACAAGTTGTTAACAGCTAGAAACGAGCACGTCGACAACTTGCGAACAGTTTTGTAACAATTTGTTTGCAGACCTGTAACAACTTGTGCGTTTTTACGTATGTACTGCATAAAAACCTCACAGCTTGTCAACAAGATATGTTCGCAACAGGCTTGTACCAAGCTTGTCAACAAGTTGTAACAATGCTGTCATTTCATCAAGTTGCTACAAGGTTGTCACTCACAACTTGTTGACAAATTGTTGAATTGCAAGACGATAACAAGTTGTTGGAACAACTTATAACAAGTCTGTTGAGCTCAACAACCTTGTGTAGCAAGTTGTCAACAAGCTGGGAACAAGCAGTGCGAACACATCCTGTTGACAAGTTGTTGGAACAGCATTGCTACAAGTCTGCTGCAGGTTTGTTACAACTTGTGCGTTTTTACGTGTGTGCTATATGACGAACGCAAACAAGACCAAGAGTCGAAAAGAACCGAAGGAAAGCATAAACACAAGAGGATGTAAAACCAACGAATATACAATTACAATATTGTAGTTAGTACTATTATATTTAGCAATGCTGTATGTACTAAATTACTGTATATATTTGTATATAGCATTCTAGCTTTACTTCATAAAGTAAATTAAGAATTATGCACGATTTTTTCATAAATTCTCACTCATTTTAATTTAACCTATCGAGTATGGAGGTTAAAAATTACAAGTCATACACATAATTAATATTTCTCATTTTTAATCGAGTTCGATAATGGAAAAATATCTATTTAACATGAATAAGTTGAGCTAGGACTTATTTAAGGCGTCACTTACGACTATATTCAAATTTTTGATACGTTTCAAACGGCAAGCAAACTTAAAAAGTATGTTTAGTGCTTTATCTGTAACATTGTGCTAAAATGAAGATATTTTAGATGGTACGCCAAAGAGAAAATGATGTCTGAAGTTCAGTAAGTTTAAGTTTTTTTTATATTGCTGTATAAATATGGCGTCAATTCAGTACAGCATCAATGATAATTGTATTGAAATTGATAATATTCAACTATTATTTTGTGTTTCTCAAACGCCAGACACACTTAAAATGGTTCTAACTGTGTGAACTACAAAATAAAGCCAAACTTCAGTACGACAGTGGCGCTTTACAGAACAAAAATTCTTATTTACGAAAGGGTAGGCAGAAATTCATTTTCCCATTGCTGGAACTGAAATAGTGTTCCTAGGCCTAGCTTTTCTGGGCCAAAAATTAAATACTCGTAATCTTCGTACTCTAATTGATGAGAACGATTTATAATAATAGAGTTATATATTGGTTACAAAATTAATATTGTGCAATTTGTCGCACTCTATAATCTATATGTAAAATTAATTATAAGTTCTGTACCAGAATATGATGGTCAAATATGTCAAAAATATCATCAGAAATGATCGTTCAAGGTCGCTCGCCCGCAGCCAGTCTGCGGTTTATATCTTCAATTACGGGAGGCAGTTCAGCGATGCTGTCGATCACGTAATGTGCACCCGCGTTCGCCAAAGTTTCGTAGGATTTTGCAATCTTGAGCTCGTATTCTTCATCGCTCAGTTCGTTTATTTCACTTTCGTTTAATGCAACGTAATTACCCTGAAAAATATTAGATCATAAAAAAGATTATATTACCGCTATTTTCAAAAGCATTTGTTTTTAACTTATCATTTGAGTTCAGGGGTCGAAATTCCCGCTATTCCGAATATACTAAAATGCCTGACGGAATAGTAAACTTGATGATCACAGTATTCCGTTTGTATAGTAGAAAAAGTTGTGCTACCATATATCGACAAGCAAGAGTTTTCCTCTTGTATAATATATCACCGCTTTATACCGGACTTTGAGCCACTGTTCCACTTCGTAGATAAGTTCTTGTTCGCTTGCAATACTTGCATATTCTAATTTCTTTGCAGCAATATTATTGTTGATTTCAAGTCACTTTTCAACGCGCGGTTCCCAAGTTCGTTGCGAACTTGCCAATTACGTTTCCAAGTTCGGAAATTGGGCGCGAACTTCGCAACAAAGTTCGCAAGTTCATCTCAGTGTTTGAACTTTGTTTTTTATTAATAATTTGTTCATCACTGTACAGAGCAATGCACTTTGGTACATGTTTATTTTTTGTTATTCAATTATTCAGTTCACTTTAGGAGTCTCAAGGATGATTTCACGCATGAACAGAAACAGTACATTAAGGAATAGTGGATTTTCAGACGGAATAGTAAATATAAAAATCTACTATTCCGGCTGTATAGTACAAAAAAATTTAAATCTCGACCCCTGGAGTTGACCTCTAGAAATCCTTTTGTTGTAAGGAAGCGGTCATTAATTATGCATGGAGGGGGTAGCGCCGAAGAGAAATGTTTTTCGTGGCAAAAATTTTGCTGACCCAACCATTAAAAAAGTCAATAATTTGATTACCCAACCTCAAATATCAATTGAAAAATAAACGCCCACCCCTGGCCAAAAATTTTACAAACGGATACCATTCAGTTGTCACACATGTCCTTTACCACTTCTGTGACACGAGTTTGATAACTGCTTGTGCAATTTTCTGCAGTCTAAAGTTTCATGTTGTCTGCACATGTACTTTCTTTCGAGACACCATTTGTCTACCAACATACCGGAAAATGATCAAGATAGTGACTCTGATTTACATATTGTATTGACATTTGACTGTTGACAGTGCTTTTTGATCTACAATATTTCAGTGGGTCATGCTTTGGATTGATCACACAAATCGACTCTGTGTCGACACCGGCTATAGACTAAATTTTGATCATCGCAAGAAGAACGAAATCCAACACCACAGCTAGAAAGAGCGTCTTTAGAATGAGTAAAACTGCGAAGATTGGTTGCTAAATGTTGTAAAATGCAGAAAATATAGCCCTGTGAAGTTCGCAAATTTTGTATATATTTGTATGACTTTTATATCCTCCGTTATTCAACTTTTATAACATATATTTACTCTGCTATATTATACATATATACTTGCTCTCTGGCTTAGCGTCTCCTAATCTAATGTCTCGTGACCTAATCTTATATGTCAATCACTTCAGCTGACCAATCAGCATTTGGATACAACATCCCTTCCTTAATTATAGTTATGAAAATATCAACCTTTAAAGTTTCTAAAATCTCTATTCTATGTAGTTCTTTACTTTGTAGTTCCGTTCTAAGACTTAGTGTCTTGGAATTACTATTACGGGTTTCATTACCGTGTTCTTTAAACTAAACTAAATGTCAACAGTCTGCATTTTAAACTTGACTAATTTAACCTACTTTTAGATAGTCTGGTTTTCTATTTCTCGTTGATCTACGTAGAACAATTTCCGTTTCTGTAGTATTCTGGTTGGTTTCTGTTTGAGTTGCTTCGGTGTTTTCTTCGCGACTTTCCGTTTGTCTGTCATGCTTGCGATCACTCTGGATTTCTTCTTCAGGATCAGGAATTTCCTGGTATAACTTGACATGCGATGAGTTTCTGCGATGTTGTGTGCCATTTTTGTCTTTTAACACTATCTGCGTGCCGTTTATTTTGGTGATTACCATTGGATCAGGATGAAACTTTGTCGTAAATTTGTTTCGATGTTTTTGAGTAACTAGTACTTTATTTCCGACTTCAAGATTTCTTGGACTTGCTTTTCGCCTCTTGTCGGTATATTTCTCTTTCTCCTCTTCATCTTTCTTGCGAGTTTCAGTTTCATCGTTTGTCTGTTGTTCAAAACTAGGAAGTTTCGTCTTGACTTCTCGGTTCATTAGCAATGATGAAGGTGTTCTTCCGGTCATTCTATGAGGAGTATTGCGGTAGTGGAGTAGCATGATTGGAATGGTGAGTTTCCACGCTTTTCCTTCCGCCTGTGCGGTTAGGATGTGTTTCTCGAGAACTTGATTAAATCTCTCAACTTGCCCATTTGCTTGCGGCCAATATTCCGTCACCGTCTTATGTTCTATTCCCCAAGAAGTTAATGTATCCTTGAACTCGGTAGAAACAAAGTAGGATGCGTTGTCGGACTTTATTTCATCTGGAAATCCGTGAGTTGCAAATACCGATAATAACCAGTCGAGAATGTTTTTGGACGTGACTGATTTTAAGATTT